TTTTTTTGGTAGCTATAACTGATTTTTTTTTTTATTGGATGTTTTATTTACATTTCATATGTTGTCCCCTTAACCCATCCCCCACCCACCCAGGAACCCCCAATCCCCTCACCCCTCCTCCTTCTCCTCCTTCTTCTCTGTGGATGTAACCTCTATCTACCCCCCCACTCCCACCTCCCCACCCTCAAAATTCCCACCCCCTGGGGCATCCAGCCTTCATGAGGTCAAGGTTCTCTTCTTCCACCTATGCCCAGCAGGGCCCTCCACTCTTACATATTCAGCTAAAGCCCTGGATCCCTCCCTAAGTGCTCCCAGGCTGGTGGTTTAGACCCTGGGAGCTGTGGTTGGTTGGTATTGTTGTTCTCCTCATGGTGCCGCAAACCCTTTCAGCCCCTTCAGTCTTCACTCTGACTCCTCCATTGAGAACCCCATGATCAGTTCAATGGCTAGTTGTGAGCATCTGCCTCTGAATATGTCAGACTCTTGAAGACCTCTGAGGAGACATCCATATCAGGCTCTTATCAGCATACAGTTCCTGACTTCCACATCAGCATCTACCTTTGGTGACTGCACATGGGATAGATATTCAGGTGGAGTGGTCTTCAGACGACCCCTCCTTCAGTTTCTGTCCCTCACTTTGTCTCCATATTTGCTCCCTTGAGTATTTTGTTGTTCCTTCTAAGAAGGACCGAATCACCCCCACTTGGTCTTCCTTCTTTATGAGCTTCATGAGGCCTGTGAGTTGCATCTTGGGCATTTCAAGGTTCTGGGCTAATATCCAATAATCAGTGAGTGAATACCATGTGTGTTCTTTTGTGATTGGCTTACCTCACTCAGGATGATAATTTCTAGTTCCATCCATTTACCTAGGAACCTCTCGAATTCATTGTTTTTAATAGCTGAGTAATACTCCATTGTGTAAATATGCCACATTTTTTGAATCCATTCCTCAGTTGAAGGACATCTGGGTTCTTTCCAGCTCCTGGCTATTATAAATAAGGCTGCTATGAACATAGTTGAGCATATGTCCTTGTTATATGTTCGAGCATCTTCTGGGTATATGCCTAGGAGTAGTATAGCTGGATCCTCAGGTAATGCTATGTCCAATTTTCTAAGGAACTGCCAGACTGATTTCCAAAGTAGTTGCACCATCTTGCAGTCCCACCAACAGTGGAGGAGTGTTCCTCTTTCTCCACACCCTCGCCAGCATCTATTATCACCTGAGTTTTTAATCTTAGCCATTCTGACTGGTGTGAGAAGGAATCTCAGGGTTGTTTTGATTTGCATTTCCCTGACGACTAAGGATGCTGAACATTTCTTTAGGTGCTTCTTGGCCATTCGAGTTTCTTCCGTTGAAAATTCTTTGTTAAGCTCTATACCCCATTTTTTAATAGGGTAATTTGGTTGTCTGGAGTCTAATTTCTTTCACTCTTAAGTCATTACAGTCCAGTAACTCCATTGACCTTTGACAGGCCTGACTTACAGAGTTGGAGGAAAGGCTTTGGGCAGAGAAGACTGCTGAGACCCAGTAGGGAGGAATGGAAGGAAGGAACCTGACCTGCTAATTTAGAGCAGTGACAGGCGAAGGGATACACTCCTGGACTCTAGCAGGCCACCTATGCTGGGTCCGGGGACTGTGGTGTTTGTGCTTTCAGCATCCTGCCCAGATATGGGTAGAATGAGATGCAGAAGTCTGGAGACAGTGGGATCAGGCTTTTGCCCACTCATGGGCTTGCTGATGTTATTCAGCAGCCATTTTTGTGATTTAAACAAACAAGGCCAGCACCTACTTAGTAGACTATTCAATGGGGCAGCCATCTTCAAAGGTGGCCAAGGTTAATGTTGCCTTGCTTCATCTGAACTTGTGATGCTATTCATTATGTCACCTTGGGAAACGCACTAGTGCTTCTGAATTCTGCTGTGCACCTTGCTGTTGCCACGTCATGATTAACCATGTGGCTAGGAGTTAAAAACATTGCAGTATTGGGTCATTACAGTCAGAATATGGATTTACTAGCCATAAAAATTATCATTGTCTTGCCATAGAACTGTGGTATGTCAGGAAGACATAACTATTGAGTTCTTCAGCTTATTCCCAAGCTTAGCTCAGTGACCAGCAGTGCCTTTAGGAAGGCTTGCACAAGCCAAGGGCTCTAGTTGTGTCCATGTATGGTTTGCAAAGGTCATACAGGGGGACAGTAGCCAGTAAGAAGAAGATAATGGGGCCAGGGATAAGTGGTTGCCTTGGCACTGCTACAGTTAGGAGCACCATGCCAGGGCACAGGTGAGATATGTCTTTATGCTGGTGGACTTCAGCCAGGCTGTGGCAGTCGGGACACAACAGTAGGTGGTGCACTGGGAAGAACTCAGCAATTACTCTCCTTTCATCCTCCAGCTCCCTGGTCAGCACCAATGAACATCTCCTGCAGGAGCTGAGCCGTACACGGGCACAACATAGAGCTGAGGTAGAGCAGATGCACTGGAGCTTCCAGGAATTTAAGAAGACTACAGCCCTGATCCCACGCCGTAGCTCCCAGCTTGGTGGCCGACAGTCCTGCTAGCGCTAGTGAGCTACAATGCCCTCTGTCAGGTATAGCCCCAGGGTTACACCTGGGTATATATCTGTCTGAGTGCCCAAATGAGACTGTAGTTACCTTAGGATCCTCACAGTGTATTCATGAGCTCAGCTTGCTCATATCTCCTAAATTGATGCAGTCGACCCTGGGGCTTCATGTGTTTGAGAAGCTTTGTTAATTACACATCCTGTTGTAAAGTACCTGCAGTATTTTTTTTCTTCCCAATGTGGGAAAGTTTTGTATAATTAAAATGTTTTCATGTGACAAGCATTCCTTATTGAAAGAAGTAATATATTGCTATGTTTAAAAAGTTAACTTTTTAAGTGACTCTTTATAAATTATAACTGATTTCCTTATTGAATTCTTCTATAAAACAAGTTACACAAAGTGAGCAGGAAAAAATAAGTTCCAAGTTGTAATTAAAAAGTAACACTTACAGATGTGACAAACATTTTAAGAATTTGTATGACATTAACATGTCATAGTAAAACAAACAAACAAAAAACCTCCCCACTTCTGCCTCACCCTTTTGCTTTTAATAGCTCCTGCAAATAAACAGACTATTCACCTGAAAACCAGGGAAAGATTTAAATACACATTGTATAGAGTGAAACCCAGATGCCTGTTTAAAAGGTGCTCGTTAGAAGAGTCAGATTTAATCCACCAGGACAATACTATGTAGAGTAAAGCCCATGCAGAGAGATGGCTTTACACATTGATGCTGAGTAGATTCTCTGGAGACAGCTTGGGGTTGTGTAGTGGACCGTGGTCTCTGCCTCACAAGGTCAGAAAGATTCTTCTGCCCTCCACTCCTGCACTGGCCCAGGTGGGTTTTGTGTTCAAGGCAGGAAGTGAATCTCAAGCCTCAACTTTGAGGCTTTGAGGGTTCTCAGCTGTGTTCTGCAGCTCCTTACCCCAAGTCAGGAGTGGTACAGCTAACTGTCTATTTCTGTTTGAGTTTTTGTATATCATGTATGTCTATGAATTAACTTATATTGCCTTAATTTTCAGTTTACTTTTGGTACTGATAATCATTTGTTAGTGTTTTAATAGCTTCAGGATTTGAAGTTGTATCATTGTGTAGATGTGTTGTGACACTTGGCTTTTAAGTAAGAGCCCACTCTGTGAGTAAGAAGACAACCTCTGGCCATTGGCTATGCCTCAGCTCCCACACTGTAGAGATGCTCATCAAGCCAGTGAACAAGCAGGCCTGGCCTTCCCATCCTAGTAAGTATCTGACAGGTGAACTCCAGAGCATGCTGGTGGCTGTCCTGAACTTTTTCAGCTAAGTATCTGGGGAACCAGCTTCCTGTCTTCCCTTCCTGGTGGTGTTGCCCATGGCATTATACATTTTCCAAAACCACTGATGTATTTGGGCGTATTGTTTCATCAGTTTTCCTGTTTTGTATTTGTCTTTGTTCTGTCTGCCATCTCATTTTGTATATTTGCTCTAGTCTGTTTTGGTGGTTTTGTTTTTTTTCTGACTCCAGTATTGTCATTTTTATTTGTTTGTTCAGTTGGTGATTGGTTTTTCTGGATTGTTTTTGGTTTGTTTGTTTGTTTGTTTGTTTTTCTTTTGAGACAAGGTCTATGTATCATGAGCTAGCCTGGAGCCCATGTAGATCAGGCTGGCCTCAAACCCACAGAGATACTCTTGCCTCTGCCTCCTGGTATCAAAGATGTGTACCATCACTCCTGACTGTTTTTAGACTGTGTCTTTTCAGCATGTCTACCCCTGTTAATCAGGAAACTGGTCCACCCTCTATACCTCTAAAGTACATAAGAGCCTGTGAGCACTAGCCTCTCTATTCCCCTTTGGGTTTGTGTGTGACTGTTCCCACGTATCTTAAAGAAATACTTTTAGTTTCACAAAATATGTACATAGCTCTTACTAATCTGAGCCACCTGCCTGCTAATTCTCTTGTTTTACTTTTTGTTAAAGGCATTTCGTTTGTGATCACTTTCTGCATTTTTTTATGTCTATTGGTAGCAAATTATTACATTATCCAAACAAACAATCAAACAAAAACCAACCTTTTTTCCCCTTACGAGCAGCAACATCATGGATACTCTGCACTAGTATTTGAAGTTGACCTTAATTTAAACATCTTGATGATGCGCCTGCCTTTGGAGTGCTGATAATCTGTGATGCGGTTTATAAGTAACTACCTTAAGCCTGGACCTCACCCAGGGCTGCACCAAAGCCAGCTCTTGCCTTGAATCTGGCAGATGGCTGGTCTGCATGCATTCCTGCCTAAGCTAAGAAACTTCTTGTGTGGAATGGACATGAGACTCTCTGCTGGTGAGTGCTGACACAAGGAAGACTTTAGACACCTCTGTGTTAATACCCAAGTGTCAAGGCCCTGCCGGCCAGAGGACGTGATGACTAGCCTAGATATCATAGTACTTTAAGGAAAATAGAAATCCATATTTTAAAACCTTTATTCATCACTTTACCAACTTGACACACAATGTTAATAACAGCAAACACAATGAACGAAATGTTGATAGACATAAGCTGTTTCACTAAAGCAATATGAGCCAGGCCATATGTCCAGCTAGGTGACTAGATGCCTTGCACTCTATAGGAGGGACAGACAGCAGGGCCATCCTGACCTGATAGACATTCTGAGCAAGTGTGGTTTAGATGTCAGCATAAATGTCTTTCTGAGTCAGAACACCCATGGCATCAACATTACCCATCACACTGATAAAGTGATAAACTCCATATTCCCTAACATTAATAAAATAGTGTAAAAATATATATCACATATATATAAACTTAACTCCCTTTCTTGAAAAAAAAAACTTAGTACAAACTACTAGTAGTAGCATATTATTCCTTTCAAGTTTAAGTTGTACAGGCTTTGTTGTTTGGCTTGGTTTAGTTAAGAAGTCTAAAGGAAGAGATAATTTACGAGTCCCAAGATGGCCACACCCATGAACTGTAAAGTTCAGAATGGTCAGTAGTATGTTGGTGAAGAAGAGCAGTTTGGCTCAGTGTTGGAAGGATATTCTGTCTACTGATGTCTTCACAGTACAGCTAAATTGTAACTCTTGCCATTCTTAATTGGCAGGGCTTCCCCTATGTGCCCTTGTCGTAGCCAGGTAGTACACGAGTCTACAGAGAGAGAGGGAGGGCGAGCCAGGCACATAGACAGGCAGTTTTCTCTGAAAAAGGACAGGTGGCAAATGCCATATGTGTCTGTGCCATGGCATCTGTCTCAGTCCTCCCAGCCAGTTGTAATACCAAAGCATCTACAGAACAGTATGTAAACACATGGGTACAGCTGTGTGCCAGTAAAACTATTCATTGAAACAGGCAGCTGAAGCAGTCAAGAGCCTCTGGGAGTGGTAAGGTTGGGTCTTGGCTCAGGGCAGACACCTGTCAACTCCCTGGGACAGACTACAGGGAGGTGGCAGAACTGTCATGCAGCCCTTTTCAAAACTCTCCATCTATCATAATGTCCCTGTGCCCCAATATAAGATAGGATACTGAAAGGTGTAAAAATACTCCAGTATAAATATAGATTTTTCAACAATATTTAAATACGTAATTTGAACTCTGATTTTGGTAAAGCATTTCCACTAACTAGTTGTTCAAAGCATTAAATAGAAATAAATAGGGGTTCTACTAGAGTCAGTGTTTCAGACAGCCTCCAACCTACCTACCATCATTCCCTGACACTTAAGACACCATCTGCATGGCTCCTCCCTGCAGTTTGTCCCTTTCTCCTGAATATCACCTCTAGCAGAATGTGTCCCTGTATATCACCCTCTACAGACCATGTTCCTTGGTGTCACCCCCAATAAAATATATCCAAGTATTACTCTGACAGAACATATCCTTGAGTGTCATGCACAACAGAACATGACTCTGTCACTCTGATCCATGTCCCTGAGTTTCGTCCCTGACAGAACCTGTCCTTATTCTTTACTGTCATAACTCAAGAGAATCTGTCTATGTCTCCTGAGTGTCTTCCCCTGATAGAATATATCTTTTTGTCTCCTGGGTGTCCCCTCTAGAAGAAAAAAAGGTCATCTCCTGGGTGTCATCCCCTATGAGAACCTATCCCTGTCTCTTGTGTGCCTGTCACCTAACAGCAAATGGCCCTGGGTCTTGATTTGCATGCTGTGCAGTTTTTGTTTGTTTTTATTCACAGACACTGAATTCTATTTATCCATAATTATTAATAGTTAATTGGTATTGCATAAAACATGCAACAGAGACAAACTCTACCTGTGTGTTCAAATCAAACTGAGGAAAATACACATCTGTTTTATGCAGCAAAGTTGGATTCAAATCAGTTTCTATGTTGAGAGGGTACACAGATGCCACAACAAATTCCGTAGACACTTTATGGAGACACTAAGTCTTTATGATCTAATTGTTACTACCCTTTCCTTTCTAGATGATATATATCATCTAGTGGGAGGGTTTATTTTTAAAGTTAAACTTAACACTGACTAGAGAAAGGTGCTGTGTGAGGAAACTCTGGGAGTAAGGGAGGACAAAATGAAGACCACTTGTCTGACACAGTTCTGGGTGCTGCTGAGGAACTACATGGGTGGGTCTAGGACTATCCTGCAGTACCCCAAGGGTGCTCAGGTTCTGTGCCTAGGACAGTGAGGACCGGCAAGGCAGAGTGACCCAATTTTCATTTAGAGTCCAAGTTGTGCTAGATCCATTAGAAACTTTTCTTAAGTGCTTTCCTTCCTGGAATGCTTTCCTTCTGAGGATCATACCTTTGGGGACTCTGATGGCAGTTCCAGTCCTCTACTGCCCAGGACCTATATGAGCTTGCCATTCTGAGCTTTTCTGCTCAATCCTGAGCACATGGGTGAAGTGACCAGTTTATAATGAAGGTTCCTCATGAAGCTGGGTAGTCCTGTGAAGGTGGACACTTACATTGTTTCCTAGGTGTTCCTAGGCTGTTAATCCTGGACTTGACTTGAATCTTCATCTGACACCATTCTGGCATCTTGGCCCTTTGAACAGAAGGCAGTGTCCAGAGTTTTCAAACTACTATGGGGTCAGGGAAACATCTGGCCCACTACATGTTGTGGGGACCCTCTGATGCCACACTAGCCTGCCCCCTCTGCCCTGGCCCACATGCCGTCACCTCCTGATGGGTTTGTGTGTGTTCCATTTTACTTGGCTATGATGGTGGCAACTAGGCTGTTGATAGGCAGTAGAAAAGAGCATCCTCAGACCAAGAGACTGCCAGCCACATGGGGACTAGGGGTTCTGGGCGAGGGTGTGAGAAGTGCAAGAGTCCTTTTGTTTCCCCGGACCAGTGAGGTAAGATTCCAGAAAGGAGGCCCCACCACTTGCCACGTACTGCAAACTCACAAAACCTTGGGAGGACGCTGACCATCCCCATCTTCCAGTGGTGGCTGTGTTGAGGGGTTTGTTAACTTTGAACCTTTGGCCTGCTGTCTGGAGGTCTGGTATTGAGGCCCATGCTTTTCTCTCTTAAGGTAGTCTTCCCTGGTGTTGCAGCAAAGGCATGCTCTCTGAGCCCCAGAGAGGTGGATACTGTGACTGTGTGCCATGGCAGTGGGGAAGACAGCCTTGCTGTCTACCTGTGCTGTCCAAGTCATGTAAGACACCCACCTTCAACAGCCATCTGCTCAAGGAAGCGTATCCTGAGGCCACTGTGTGTTCTCTTTAGGAACAAAGCCACACAGTCCACCAAGCTGCATGCAAGGCTAGGGCTGTGTTAATGCAAAGGAACAATTGCTGTGGGACTCTTATGAGGATGGTACATGCCTTTGGGCCTGGCTAAGTGGCACCCTCACACATGGATGAGCCGAGTCCTGACTTCTGTTTCGTGGCAGAAAAAGAAACCTTAGCAGATGCTGCAGATCTTTCTTGGGCCTAGTTCTAGTGTCCAGTGCCCTGCACTTGCACTTGTGAGAAAAGTTAGGAAAATGAACCCAGGGAAGGCTCCATAGAGCTGAAGACATAATTTTGAGCAAAACACAGCATAACTTGCCTCGGCAAAGGCCTCCATAACACACTGGTGGAAAAACTGCCCAAGCCTGGTCTGGACGAAGTGTCTCAGCATCATGTGTGTCCCAACCTGGTGATGGGACATGGCAGCGTGATATCTTGAATCTCCCTGGATCACTCTTGAGACCAAGGACATAGTCTTGCCATTTCTTAGAACAACACTGAAGAAACTTCCAGCTTCATACTCCCAAGTCACTCCTCTGGTCACCAGAGAGCTTGCATTTTCTCTTGGCCACTCTCAGCACAGACTCGGTTGGTGAATATGCATGTGTGCATGTGTGCGTGTGTGCATGTATGTACACACACATACATGCATGTGTGCTGATGTGAATTGTTCTCGCACACACTGGCACAACCCATCAAGTACCCTCAGTCATGTGTTCTGCTCAAGAAAGTTGAAGGGGCCTGTTTAGGATTATTCTATGCAGTTGGTTAGTTCCTTAGTTCCTGCCGCCTCAGAAGTGCCTAGATAAGGTCAGCGTGAGTTCTGACATCTGCTCTGCTCATCCTCATTTCTGCCAGTACCCAAAACACCCCCCCCATTACCTGCAGATCAAGTGGCCAGTGTGGTATGATCCTGGGAGACAGTTTGGAAATAGCAGTCCACTTCCCAGCTGTGGACAGGGCAGGTATGTTAGGACAGGACAATGAATCATGGCCCAAACCTAGGGTCTGAGAGAGAAGTGTCAAAGCACCCAGCAGGAGGAGGCCTGGGCACTGCCCCCACCATCACCTAGTGGAGGTGCATTCTGAGTTCTGCCCAGTTAAACATAGGAATGTAATGAAGTGCAATGGGTGTAAGTCCTGCGCCTGCCACCTGTAGCGTCCAGAGCTTCGGCCTGTAAGCCTACTTGCCCCCCTGCACCTTCTGGTCATAGGTGCCTGCATGCTTGTAACCAGGCACATAGCCTGACTCATCCACCAGGTCCACGCGGCCAGCTTTGCCCTTGCCCTTTCCTGATTGGTCGAAACGCTCCTTGTGGGAGCCTGTGAACTTGCTTGTGTCTGTGAGCCGTGACACCGTGGGTGAGGACACAGCTTTCTGAAAGAGAATAGAAGAGAGTGTTACAAGGCAAATGTTAGAACTGGGTAAGGACTGCCACCATTCATTGCACCATTTAGGTGGGAGGTGGCAGGGGCTGGAGAGTAAGCAAGACAAGGAGTATGAACCTGCTAGGCCACAGACCAGGGGTTACCTCTCCTGGCTCTGGGTTAGTCGCACACTTACAGGACTAACAACAAGTGTAAAAGTCTTCTAAATCTACCCAGTGTGGCCTTCAGATACTACTGCGCCATGGTCTCCCCAAGGGCAGATGCAATCAAGAACACTAAGTCCCACCCGTGCCTCACCCCCCTCACCGTGACGCCAGAGATGACTGGTGCTCGGCCCTCAATGAGCCTGTGCACCTCACGCACAGCCTCCTCGCTGCTCTTATCCTTGAACCGCTTCTTGGCCAGCTCCTCCAGTGCCTCCTGGAACTGCTCAAAGGTGATGGTCCTGCAGGACTTCCCTCTGTGGATGACAGGTCACGTAAGTCCTCAGGTAGAGGTCCTCTGGGACCAACCCCACAGGTATACCATCCCTTCCTGCATTCTGCAGTGACCCCTACTGGTCACAGCTAAAAGTTACCAACCAGAGTATCAGGACATTTCTGCATCTGATCTCTCCTGGGTGGGAGAGCAGAGAGAAAAACAGCAAAGATCCCATCAAACTCTTCCCAGGGGTATCCTAGCCCATCAAGGAGTGGGAGGATCAGAAGTGGCCTGGAAAGAGCCTAAAGCTGTGGTTATCAAAGTAGACAAGATTTAGAGGCGCCATATCATCCGCCTGATCAAAATCCTAAGAGTGAGCATTACAGGGCAACCTAGTCAGCAGGCTTGAGACTGGAGCCCCTAATCACCTGTGAGCATCCTAGATAATCTATCATTTCACAAAATCCTCCTGCCAAAATTTGTTGTAATTTTACTTTAAGGCATTTTCAACTTGACACTCACCCCCCAACTAATCCAAATTACTGAAGTTTTCAATGTTTTGACATAATGTAGAAGACACACAAGTCTGCATGTCCTGCATGTTGCTGGGGAGTTTTAGTGAAATGGCCAGAGAGACGCTGCCTCGTATGGCCAGGCATGCCCAGACCCCAGTTGCAGAGTGCTAAGCACTCAAGGATTTAAAGGAGCTGGCTAACAAAATCCCAGCAGGGCTTTGAAGTCTCTCTCCATCAGCATAGGATCCAGAGCAGCCAAGATGAGTTTAAGAAAACAAAAACAAAGTGGTGGTGGAGCACACGCTCAGTAGGCAGAATCTGGTAGAGCTCCATGAGTTCGAGGTCAGTCTGGCCTACAGATTGACTTCCAGGACAGCCATGGCTCCAAAACACAGTCTCAAAACAACAACAATAAACAAACCAAAAACAGAGTTGGAGGTCCAAAACACCATGCGAAGTCTCCTGAAGGAGACCGGATGAGAGATACTAACAAGGTGTGAGACATATCTGGAGTCAGCTCGACGTATCTGGAGTCCAGAAACACCCACACAGGTACCTAACTGAACAAGGTCAAGGAAAAAGGACTGTTTCAGAAAGCAGTTGGAACATCTGCTACCTATGCAAAAATAAGCCAGCTATGATCCACAGCTCCCTCGGTCTACTCAGAGCATGACCCCAGAAATAGCTTTCTCGTGTATATCTGGGAGATGACATGGGTAACCTTAGGTGGTCAAGGATTTCTTAGAAATGAGGCCAAGTCATCACATTCAATAAGAGAAAAGTGGGCAGACTAGACTTCAGAATATTAAGAGCCATGCTCTTTCAAATGACATGGAAGACACAGAAATACCACAGAGCTGGAGAAAGTACAAACCTGAAAAGGGGCTCATATCTAAAATACACAAAGAACTTAACAGTAAGAAAAGAAAATTTTCGAATGGGCCAAGTATTTGGACCAGACACCTCACCGAGGAAGATCCATTGATGGGGAATGACACACACAGGAAGTCGCCCATGGTAAAGCAGAAGTGATGAGGAAGCTGTCTGGGGCATGCTGAGGAGGATGTAGCCAGCCTTCCTGGGGGGGGCAGGCTGCTTCCAGAGAAATGAAGACTGAATCTCATGTTAAACCCATTTATGAATAAGGTACAGATTTTATTCAGTCATTCAAACTTGGAAAACCACCCAAATGTCCCTTAGCAGTGGCCAGATAAGCATTCTATGGGCAGTCATCTTTGAGGACACAGCAGTGGCAACACAGTAACAGAGTGGGCCCTTGGTGGCTGTGCTAAGGAACCAGACATGAAAACACTACTGTTCCACTCACTATGAAAATTTTACTGGTTCCTAGAGGAGTCTCACGCTTTACACATGTCCTGAATATATAGGGCATTTTGACCAAACAACCAAGAGAGCTGAGCCAAACGTTCTTTGAGAAATGCACAGGGCCCCAAGTTGTGGGCCACCCCTACTTCTCAGGAGATTGGGGAAGCCACTAAGCCATTACACTTGGACCAAGGATACAGCATAGAAGCTAGAGGCACACAGTGTGTGAACCTAGAACCTTGCAGAATGGCCTCTAATACGGGTAAGGAGCCTAAGTAGGTGCCTTGTGTCTTAGAGGGTGGATTCTAGTCCTTCAGTGTTCTTACCCCCAGCACTCAACAGCTACCCTTGAGATACTGGGCAACCTAGAGCTTTGGAGCAGCTTGGCTTCACAGTTCAGTCGTGCCTGGAGCTGACAGCTTTCCCCTCTCTCCTAGGACCTTGGGGGGGGGGGGGTGATCAAAGGCCCCCCCCCCCAGGGCTGCTCTCTTTGTCGTGAGAAGTCAATGGCACTCTTGTCTCCTACTCCCAACCCTTCCTGGGTTAACATGAGGATGCCAGGCCTAATGGCCTGCCTGGCAACCCGCTGCTGGGGCACACGGCCATTTCTAGGCAGCCTCGGCACCAGGCACCACCAGTATGAGTCACTGGGGGATGGGGTAACTGGAGGGGCTGTCCCATCACAGACCACATTCAGATAGAGTTGGACGTCTGCTCCACTGGTACCAAGAATCTCTTTCTGGCCTGTGTCCCTACAAGTCTAACTGTTTCATTGGGGAGAGGGTGCCCTGTCTTGGTGCCCCAGTTTACAGAGAACTCTCCCCAGGAGATGCAGGCACTTCTTGAAGCAGAATCCCCAACCAGCTCCGAGAAGACAATGCCCACTTCTTCCTCAGAGATGTGAAAACCTCTCCAGGGTTCTCCCACAGAGCCTCTATCAAGAGCTCTCAGGACTTAAGGGATATTCCTAGGGCTTTTGCTTCCCTGCCTTTGGTTCTCAAGCTGTCCAAAGCTGTTTTACCTGAAGCCTGTGATTGCATCCCAGGCCCTGTCCCCATATCTGCATGCCACCTTCTCAGTCTCTTGGGAACCCTGGGACCTGGCTAGAGGGGTCAGGACCCAGCCTCTGCAGCAGAGCCCTCTGAGGACTACTCCTCTATGGCTAATACCACAAACACTACCATCCGCCACCTCAGCTTTGGGCTTTCACAGAGCCCCTCGTTCAGCCTACTCAGCACTTTTCGAAGAGTCTCGTCAAGGCTCGTGTAATAAGAAAACATTTAAGAAGTGAAGGAATAGGGCACATAGGACAAGACAAGGCTGCTTGTGCTTCTTATTCTTACTTCCTGAGATTTACAGAAGCTGTTGCTTCCGAAGCAACCACCAGAGAGCAACCTTGTCAGCCAGCTACTATGCAGGCAGAGGCACTCCAGAGGAATGAGAGCTATACCCTCCCTGTACATGTGGTGGTCAGAGAGCAGCTGAAGGACCTGGAAGGGACTCCTGAGCAGGGATGCCTTGTAGGGATGCTACCTCATAGGAAGCCTTTCTGGAGGCTTTCTGTAAGGAAACAGTAAGGGAGTTGACCTGCTGAACCACAAAGAAGCCTCAGCTGCCATGGGCCTCAAGTTGCCTGTTGCTACCAGTGTCTGGCTCTTTAGATGTGTTCAAGGGAGGTGTAGAAGTCTGGTCATTTTCTTCAGACACCAGTCTCTTGTTCCTTCCTTAGGACTCTCCTGTGCCCACTGACTTCCCAGGACCTAGACCTGGGCTCTGTGCAGGAGATAACGCCACTGCTGCTGCTGCTGCTGATGATGATGATGATGATGATGATGAAAGTCTAGGCCTGTCAGTTCTCTGTACCCTTAGCAGGTCACTGAACTTAAATTGAACTCAAATTCCTTAGGAACAGGTGATGTGCTCTCTGCCTAGAGGGGCCTGGATGTCAGTTAGCCACAAGGACTTTGCCCATCTCAGAAAATCAGAGGCCAAGCAGCAACCCTACTCTGCTAACCCCACTAAGCTGTGGCCCTACTCTGGGCACATTGCACATTATGTCTGTTTACTGGCAGTCACCAGCTTGCCCAGAGGAAGCATCTGTGACCTGCAGCATTGCTACTTCCCTCTGTTGAGAAAAAAATCCTTAGAAAAGATCCTTTCTACCTGTCATTTTGTGTTTTCCGAGGGGCCTGAGGCTGTGGGATAAACATTCACTAGGTGACCCAAAGTGGGTTACATCTGCTCACCCCCACCTCCTCACGGCTCTGGCCTGGATTAAGTAGGGGTAAGCCATGAGGATGGATGTACCTCCAGTTGTTCAGACAAGTTATGGATGTTAGGGGAAGTTTATTCTCTTACATGTCCTTCATGAGTTGGCCAGCCAGATTCCCAAGGCAAGATGGATGAGCTGAGGAACAGAATATGCTTACCATCCCAACGGCCTATCACTCCAGACTCACCAGAACATACAAAGCCTTATCCAGAAAGTCACGGGGGCCACTAGCCCAATGACTATCAGGCAAAAAGCTCCACATGTCCTGTCTATCCCCCAACAGAGGTCAAAACCCTTAAGTTTCCTAGCAGGCAGCTGAGGAGTTACTATGTACTGCCATATACAGCCACTAGAGGGCCATGCAGAAGTAAGAATAGCAACAAGGCTTCAGGTACTGGGATGCCTGAAGAGTAAGATGCATGCTGGATCTTGCTCCACTCAAGGCCTGCAGGGTCAGGCCACTCTTCCCTGGAGCATATGACTGTTAGCCTTATCTGAAATCCAGGAAGCAGAGCCTGAAGGAGGAACTCCAGTGACATGTGTGCCATAGGTGAGTGGAACTGAGTGGGGCCCACAGCCAGGAATAAAGGCTACCTCTGTGAGTCTTCACACGTCTAGGGTCCTCGGCATCTGGATTCTCTGAGATATTTGGACAAGTAGTAGACACAGAAACCCATCCTTTCCACGGTACCCAAAACTCTGGCCAGGACTCCAGACGTGTGTCGTGTTCCTAGGAGCAATGGGCTACATTAGCCCAGGTGGCTTCTATGCTGATCCTCCCTGGCAGCACACGGACATCAGAAAAATCCCATCAGGCCTTACTGACTATCTGTGGCATGTAAGGAACACAGAGCAGCTCATAGACTGAGCAGTGGCTGACAAATCCCCAGTCTAGACAGATCTAGACCCTTCTTTCTTACATGTAGGGACTGGCCTGGCTTCCTTCTGACTTGTATCCAGACATAATGGACACCCAGCCCTGACACCCCAGCCAAGTTACTTTTTGACTCTGCACAGTGTTGGCAGGAATCTGTCCGTTTACTCTGGAGGGTACCCAGCACCCATTCCAAGCCCAAGGAGGCCAAAGGTCTCTGGGCCTCTTTACCTGGAAGTATGGTGGTTAAAATAAAGAGGTCGTAGGTAAGCCCAACCCTGAGGCCTCTGTACCTCTTCTGCCACAAGCATATGCAGGTACATACACAGGTACAAAGACCCCTTACAGACAGTCACAGACAAATACAATGCCTAGGGCCCCCAGGTATTTCTCAAGCTGCACCACACTGGCCTTGCTTCAAAGTCAGGTCTCCATTAACTGTGTGGAGCCTGGCTATGCTGAGCCTTTTGCAGGATGGGGAGTCTAGATTAACAGTAGTCTACAATAAAACTTGGTATAGAGCTTCAAGAAATTTGTTTAAAATTTAACACATAGTAACATCAAAACAAACAAGCGCTGCCATGGTGACAGGGACCTAAACAAAGGCTGCAGATACCCCAGCTGGCGCCACGCCTGCAGAGCCATGGCAACCTGCCCCAAAACAGAAATAGTTGAACTTTTTTTTTCCCTCTCAAGTCCTGTCAGAGTCAGCAACTTCCTGGAGGTACCTAAGCAATTTCCTCCCAGGTCCCAAATTCCTACAGGTGGCAAATTGCTGCCCCTCAAGGGACCACAAACACCCAGACCTCATAATACAAATAGCACCACTACAGCAACAGTTTTCCTGGAAATCTCAATCCCAGAGTTCCCCAGCCCTTTCTGCTGATCCCCTTTCGCAGTTCCTCAGCACCCTGGTACTCAGAACACAGTCCCTCTACACTAGTGGACAATAGGACTCTGAATTTTCTGTTCACAAATGCCTCTAGAGTGAGGATCTTCCTCCAGAGCAGAAGTGTTCCAAGTGGAACATAGTTCACAAGGAACCCAGTGGAGTCCAGCCTCTGAGCAGGAGTGAGAATTCAAAGACAGTAAGAGATGAGGGGATGGCAGACTCTAGGTTCTCAAGGGTCCATGTGTAGGCAAAAGGAACATCAGAGTTTCTGGGTCTCTACTTAGTACAGAATCCTCACCTGGGCTTCCTCAGCCACCCAGTTAGACATCAATGACCCCACAGTGCCAGCAAACCCAGCACTGATTGTCTACCTAGACTGTCATAGCCTTTAGACTTCTCTGGGCTTGGGCTTGCTCTCTAGGACCTTGACTTTCAAGGCAGGGACAGTCCAAGGTTCCCAGGCAGCTCAGAGTCTACAATGAGGAATGGCAAGTCCTGGAGTTGGGGATGAAATGTCTGATCATCTGAAGTTCTGCATTCTGGAAACAAGCATTCCCTTCACATGGCTCATTCATACGGGTCCAGTGTCTCCCATGGCAAGAAGGACTTGTGGCACTGGAGTTCTCAGTCCTCTGTGGCCCTCATCATCCAAAAGACCCATGACCACATAGGGCCACCCATCAGGAGACTGTAGAAACACAAGTTTTACATGGGGGTGCAGTGCACATATATAGGCACACAAAAGCTGGAAGATAGCCACCTTCAGAAGCTGGAGAAGCTGATTGACCTCTGGAAAGGTCACTTTTTCCTACCTTCCAGCCATCCCTTCTAGAAGCTTCCTCATAGACACAAGTCTCTTGAACATTGGAATTACTGAGGACACGGAGACATAAGGAGACCATGATGCACATGATGAGCTCATTAGCCTTGTTTAAAAGACATCGTGTATGCTCCCAGTGTAGGAAGAGCTTCCAGAGTTTCTGGTAAGCTCAGGGTTGGGTTTATAAGGGACACTTGCTAGTGGAGGAGAACCATGAGGAGAGATAAAGTGAGGAGCTGTCCAAGTTCATTTGCTAGTTTAGACACTGGAGGTGAGCTCCATAAAACCATCAGTTTTAACTGTATACACATGGTAAACAAGGCTTTAACTGTATATACACAGTAGACATAGCTTTAACTGTATGCAGATGGCACACACAGCTAACCTGGTTTTTCTAGGTCTCAATGTTGCAGGTCATGTCCACTGGCCTAACAGAAGCTCTTGGCACCAGGATGAGAGCAATGACTGTACCAGAGTGTCCAGTGCCCATCATTTTGCAGCCTGGGTCAGTGCCCCTCACTCATGACTGGCCAACTTACCAGAGCAGCTTTGTTTACCAAGACATACCTGTCTGTCCCTGCCTGGAACTGTCTAGTGGAACTCAAAAGACCAGTTTCTATGAGGAGGCTGCACATTTCCCAGCAGGTGATAGCCAGGACAGGCCATGTGACCAGCACAGTGAGCTCCATCAAACCTGGGAAAACCCCTCCCCCCAGACAAGGTCCATGGTGGTCTCAGTACCCAAACTCAGGGACAGTCATTTTGGTGAATGCTCAGGAACTATAAGCATCAAGATTTCCAGGTCAAGCCGGGCGGTGGTGGCGCACGCCTTTAATCCCAGCACTTGGGAGGCAGAGGCAGGTGGATTTCTGAGTTCGAGGCCAGCCTGGTCTACAGAGTGAGTTCCAGGACAGCCAGGGGTACACAGAGAAACCCTGTCTCGAAAAACCAAAAAAAAAAAAAAAAAAAGATTTCCAGGTCATCTACGAAGGAGCAGCAGCAGTATGGAGGCTGTACATATCTTGCTGCATACATATCTTTGGGTCCTTATGACCTGTTCTGGACTTTGTAGACTCCTCATGGCTCTTGATCTCCAGTGACTGTGCTGTTCTATTTAGGGACTTGAGGGACAGAATTACTATCTCCTGACCTTCCTATAAAAGCAAGAGAATGAATACAGTGTTCAGTAGATCCTCCTCTGTGGGGGTCACATAGGGTTCATTGGTACCCAACAGCATCGCACACAGATGAAGCTGTGGAGAAAGCAGCGTTGACAGAAGCCTAAGGACCACAGTCTAGGAGTACATAGGAGCACTGGCCAAAGGCCTTCCAAGTAGGCTTGGGAAGAACTGGTATCAGTGTTATCATTATGGAGCCAGGCCAGAGTAGAAGTGAGGGCTTTCATAGTGGGCTTCAGGGAAAAGTGACCACACACATCTGAGCCACTGACCATAACTTCCTCTATTATCTTCACCCACAATAACTGAACTTCGGGCTGAGGTAGATCTGAGATATCATAGGAACAGAGTCTCAGATGGGAGAAAGATGCTAACTATGCTCACACAGTGTCTGCTTGCATAGGTTGAAGCTACATGGAGAGTCTCTTCTCCAGCTTCTCATTGGGATTGGAAGTCACAAGGAGGCAGAGCAAGCAGAATAGACTAGCTCAGACTCCTTTTTGGAATCCTCTGGGATCAGCAGAGCCTGGAGAGGGCCAGGATGGAGGACCCCTTTGGGACATGTTTTCACATGTCAGCCTTTACAGTACAACCATTCAAACCTAAGACACACTTTTGTACGCTGTGTACAACAGGAAGTTCACTAGGGAGCATAGAGTTGAGATTTTCTTGCTTTGCAGAGGTCTCAAGCTCCCAGTATACAGTGAAGTTGATATCAGCATTGGAATGAATGGGGACAGATAGACTCTGGCCCAGTAATCTTTACTGAGCCCCCCTCCAAGGGGACAAGACCTTGAAAATTCAGGCTCAGCTTCTTTCATTTCCCTCAACCAGGATCTAGAGGAAGCTACAGCTAGCTTCAACTGGAACAGAAAGATGTCAATATCACCCTGAATCTGATAATCTGGCTTATGTCACTTCTTCCAATTGGGCTGCATGTTAAATCCCTCCACTTTCCCAGGAACGCTTAAGTTCCTGGCATGTGATATTTGTTGGTGTTCTCAGGGGCCATCTGCTGGGCCACATCTACCCTTCTGGTTGTTGCTCAGAGACTCCCCCATGCACCAGTGCGCGACCTGGGGGCAGTTTACTGTACCTGAAGAACACCAACAATTCCACAAGCAAAGTGGTGGTTGGCAACCACAGTTATGAAGACATCACCCACCCAAATCCAGAGGAGGAAGCGATGCTTAGCTAGTAGCACCCACAGAGATCAACCACGGGACCTGATAGCACGCAGATGTAAGACAAAACAGTAGATGAGTGGCCATTCTCTGATTTGTATCAGTTTGGCTGCACATGTGATCATTTCTCAAGTACAAAATCAATGGAGGTGGATAAGGGGCTGGAAGAGGGTATCATGAGCCCCTGCCATATCCTGGAAACAAAGTTACATAGGCCCGAGCCTCATGCTAACCTCAGACTCTGCCCACAGTGGATGGGTCTCTGTTTACCTAAGCAGATCCTAATCATGTCTAGCAACAGCTCATTAACCTGGGTATTGGTTAGAGTTAACTAAGTTTTCTCAAGGCCATAAACCCCCAACCTGGCCACATCCAAGGCCAAATGGATAGAGACAAGGACCACAGCTCAGGACATGGCCAAGCAGTTCCAAGGCACTTGTGACCAATGTACTGCCCAGACTGTCCCAGACACCACAGGTTCTGTGTCCACTTCTTAGCTTCAAGCTTTCACTATCTGCAATCAAGACACTTCACAGACCCTCACAGCTACTGACATGAGTTGTGCTGCCTAAGCCTGCATGGCACTTACTTGATCTTGCTGAAGACGATGTCCACATCAGTGACAGTCACATTCTTCCCATCGATCACGTGGCAGTCCTTGCACAGTTTTGACCAGTTCTTGCCATGCATCTCCTTTCCTGTTGCCCTGGTGTCCCCATGTACTGCAAACCGACGGAAGGCCTCCTCCAGGGCACTGAGCTCAGGAGCTGCAGCTGCACCCTCATTGGCACCCTCTGACTCCAGTGACAACCTCTTAGCAGCCTTGGCTGTGTCTCCTGGGGACTTGGGTGGTGTCTTGTTGGCAGCTTTGGCAGGCTTGGCCTTGCTGTCAGCCATGTTGCTAGGGAAGAAGGAGAAGAAAGAAGTCATTCTGCTTCTCACGGTCCATTTGTGTCCCTGGTTCTTGCTGTAGCATGTGGTACCAGGCAACAGGATAAGGCAAGAGCTAAAGAAAGGCACCGTTTCTGGGGTCTGGGACCCCTGGGAGCTGAATGCCAAACATAATTGTGTTGGTCCAGCTGTTGGACCTGGCACTGACCCTGCCAACCTGACACCTGTAAACTCTAGAAAAAGGAAACAAGGTCTGACACAGCAACAGTGGGTTTTACCTTAACCCCCACCAGTCGAATTTCCACAGCTTCCTCCCTCAGCCTCTCATGTTGTGGGTGAATGCCTGGAGGGATGCTTAGAGTCTATAAAATGATGCTATCCTTAAGATCCAGACCAGTCATTCTATACTTATTGTCCCTCAGACCTGAGCCTTCTGAGCAGAGGCTGAGTCGTGCCCTGGAGTGCTGAGTGATCCACTGCTGGAGACACAATAAGGGCCTGCCCTGGGATCCTTATGTGTAGTAAGTTGGCCCTTGGACTCAGAGGAAGGGACCCCCAAGGAAGGGAAAGCCAGAAGTACAGCCATATTATTTGGGATTTTGTGGGCTGTTGATTCCTAAAATAACCAGACATCCAGGAGGGCTAAGAAGACTGAGGAGGTGGCACTACCTTCTGGAGGAGGCAGGCCAGAACCTGGCAAGCAGCAGATTCAAACCAGGCAAAAGAATTGTGAGCAAACCTGCAAGTCCCAGCAAGACTCAGCAGCACAAGGATATGCAGATGATCCCACCACAGCCACTGATGTTCCAGCAAGGGTAGACACATGCCATTTCCAGCACCCAGAAAGCAGGAATGAGGAACTACCAATTAGCTTCTCTCTGGGAACTGAATGCATAACAGCTCAATGCAGGGAGAGGAACTCCTGGTATAGGCACACACCACTGGCCCACAAAGATGAAATGTGCAGCCTGTGCAGCCCCTGTCCAGACTGGAGATCTCAATAACAATGGTCAAGTCATGCTGTGAAGTGCGGCCCCTGCTGAACTCACAAAAGTAGAAGTTCCCTAAACAGCCAGAATAACACAAAAGACATTCAGCCACAAAGGTCAGGTCCCCTTCTTGTCCATTCCCCTTGAAAATGGTAATAAAAGCATAATAGAAAAAATCAGCAGATAAGGAGAGCGAGGTTAAGTGGGAAGCTCCTACATCCCCACAAGACCTGACTCATGGTGAATCAAGTCCATGCACTTGATGGGTTATCTGAGCTTCTGCCCTGGACCCTCACAGGACACTGAAACACAAGAGGGGCTCTGCCTTCTGAGGACTTCAGGATGCTGAGGCAGGCCAGAGCCTGGCAAGCAGCAGATTCAAACCAGGCAAAAGAATTGTGAGCAAACCTGCAATGGAAGAATGGCGCGCATCAGGGCAGTGAGGGCATGTCTCATGCTGGTGTGGCCACTCCATATCAGACAGGTGCAGACTGTGTTCTGACCAGGTTTCTACAGCACTATGGACCCACAAGATCGTAAACAGGTACTGTGGTAGGGATGGGCCTCATGGGAAGGAACTCTCACTTCCAGCCCCTCCACTGTAGGAGAGAGACTCCTGGGCAGGACTTCCACCCACATCCAGGGGATCAGGGATTACAGAGGTAGCTCAGAGAGCCTTCTGATAACTTTGACACTCTAGGAAGATGAGTGTTCAGCACTGAGGAGTCAGGACAGAGTGCAGGCCTGAAAGGTATCTGCCCAATGGAATCAGTAGGAAGCTAAGGAAAAACCAACTTCTGGAAAGCAGAACCTATCTAAACTCATCCCTGGAATAAGTCATCCTGGAGCTTTTTTGGGCTCCGTGGCAGAGCAGCTGGCAACTGTGACTTCACTGAGTAGTTGACAGCATGGTCATACTATTTTAAAGTCCCAGTGCCAAGATCTTTCAGCAAGATCAGCTCAGTATGGGACCTACATAGCAACCTCTGAAGGGTGCCAACAACACACTTGCACAAAGGATAGGCTGCAACAGGGGGGTTGAGACCCTTCCCTCAGGACACACCTTGGGGACTGTAGTCAGGCCTCCAGACTCTGCATCCATCTTTGCTTTGTTTTACCCTGAACATGTACTACCTTCATATTACATGATAAAACATTTTTAATATAAAAGTAACAGTCGGTTTGGTCCTAACTGTGGCCCTACAAAGATCACCAGAGCATCACTTGCTCTGTGAAAGGAAGAGAAAGGGTGTCATGCAATCAGAGTACACTCAGGAGCAGGCTCCTAGGACCCAGGCCTCCTATCCACAGGTTCTCTGTTCTAATGTGAACTGATCCATTAGCTCACAACAGCAGCAGTGAGAACAAGTTGTATCTAAAGAGAATTGAAGCTGCAGACAAGGTATCCTGGAACATGGAGGTACCTATAGGCCTAGTTCCTTCACTCCTCCAGTGTTGTGGAATGACCAGCTATAGTCTTTTCCTACCCCACCATCCATTTAAAGGCCCTGGCCTCCTGTTTTTCCTGCCCCACAGCATCTGAAGCAAACCTAAGGTTTAAGGAGATCTCTGTGTGTCCCACCATGTCAGCACAATTTCCATCAGGGAAGTTAGCCCATTTAGAAGAGAATCTAGGAAGGCATCTGATCCACCAAGTGTGGTGATAAAGGGCAGCCTCTCAGGTGTGCTCTGCACTTCCAAGGTGTGACTCCTACACCTCAGGTATGTGTCCTAGATATGCCTTGTGCCTCTTTCCTGATAACCTATAATTCATTGTCTCTCAGACAGCCAGAAAGGATGTACCCCAAATTCATCCAATGGAGTCTGTCTATCAGCGGGTGCTCCTTCCTGAACTGGCCTCCTGCAGCAGTGATTGCTCTGGGAGCAAAGAGAGCAGGTGTGGTGGAGGAGGGGAGTGGCGCCAGCTGGTGACCCAGCAATGACTGCTTATGTTCCCTGAGGGGTCAGGAGGACAGGAGATGGTAACTTATCCACAACAGCACTGACTGTAGGGACAGGCTATGTTACCAGATTTGCATCTTCAGATCAGGCCTGAGGAGGGCAAGAGAGGTCAGCTGGAGGTAGAATTACAGATCTTGCAATGGGAGGGGATATGGACAGATGCCAGGGACAAGGCTTTCTGTAAACCCTGAGGACCCCTTTAGCCCAGAAAAGATTTCTTGCATCCCATATACCCCTAAACTTTTCCTTGCCAACCCCAAAAGATTGACTGTTCTCAACAAAGTCTATAGAAAATCAACTGGGCTCCATTTTTCAGAATGAAAAATACTAAAGCAAATAAAATTTTTTTTGTTAAAGAAAAATAGCTCAGTCTGTTCTGAGATGAGTTTGATTCCTCGAACCCACGTTTAAAAACAACAACAACAACAACAAAAGGTATATCAGTGTGTGCTTTTAATCCTCCTGTACACTGGAGAGATGGAGATAGGGCAACAGCCAGCCAGCCTAGCCTAATTAGTGAGTTCTGAGAAATGACAATGAAGTTGCTTTCTGGCTTCCAAATGTGTACACACACACACACAAAACAACATGTACACATGTAGCAACACAAAAAGAAGGAAATAAAAAATGCAAAAGCTAGAGGTGACAAGAGACTTGTGTAAGCCAAGCATCAACTGCTACACACCTCAGGGTGCAGCCCCACCATAGGACTGGAAATGGGAGGATCAGTGGATTGTCTGTAAGCAGGAATCAATTACTATAACCAGGGCAGGGTGCCATTGAGCAGAAAAGGCATTTATGAATGTGATGGGTGTTCATGAATAAAGTAGGGGTTATGACTAGGCCAGGTGCCCATGAGTGAGACAGATATCAGTGTGTGAGGCAAGTGTCTAGAAACAGGAAAGAATACAGAAAAGAAGGAGAAAGCACTTCTGCTTCTCTGAGGAATCTCCACAGGAGCACACAGGCAGGGATAGCTCTTTCTCTAGAATGTTCCATGAACTCCATTTCATCCTCATTACCAGAGGCTGATTGGGCTTGAAAGAAGCAACCTCCAGATAAATCCAGGGAAGTGAGACTTTGATTCACTTGCAAGACACATACCACTCAATCCCTGACCACCAGCTAGGCTGCCCTCAGTTCCCCAGGCCTCATCAGCAAAGGTGAGATCAGGGACAGCCAATTAGAAAGACCATGACCTGACACTCAAGAGAAAGAAGTCTGTCCAAGATGGAAAGAAAAAAATGAATAGTATCCACTCGAAGCTCACCTCTTCTTCCTCACTACATCCCACCAAAGCTTTAGTCCTATGAGATCCCATGTAAGACCAGGGTTAGTCTGACTGTGTGGGATCTAGACACATCCAGCTAGCCCTAGAGAGGGCTCATCTGAGAATGGGACACAGACAGCCTCTCCTATACAAGCTCTGTACTTTAGAGTGTACTTATACACAACACAGCCTTTGATAATTGTTTCATTAATAATACAGCCATACACCCTGCTCCTCGTCAGGATACTCCATGTGAGAGGCCTCTTATTTCAATGGGAGCTGTCATCCCAGGCAGGGTGAACTCCCACAAAGTGGGCATTTTCTGAATGTGTATATCTTGCAGGCACACAAAGGCAGTACCAGAAGCTCAAATCTATTAGGAAACCCACCCTCTTGTCACCCAGGCCCCATCTACACAGTGTACCGAGAAGTCTACAGCCCAGAGGATGACTGGGATTGGTCAGGATGGAACACAGTCCCAGTCATCACGAAGATTGGAGTCCCAAGGCTGGGCTACTGCCTACAAGCTGACCTGAGAACCAAACCCTGTGCTTCTCATTGTTTCTAGGTTAAACACAACACAATTCTCCTGGATGTTTCAGGGGGAGGGTAGCCCAGTGTCCATGTCAACTCACTTCCTATATCCTAGGTCTGGGCTGCAGCGCAGGCAGAACAAGACTACATGTTCCAGAAAACCCCTTACTTATGTTAGGAAAAGGGAATCCTGGGCAAGGAGACTGGGTTAGAGTTAGAGTCCTATACATCTAGGTCCTTTTTTGTATCCAACATCCAGGGCAACAGAAATGAGCCCAGAACTCCCCAAAGCCAGTGGCTGTTCTATCCAGCTACTCTTACTTTCCTGGAATTCACATTTCAGGCCTTACCCACAATGTTGCCCTGACTGCCCTCAGTAGGAAATGCAAGGATACAGCCACTTTCAGGAGTGACCATTTGAGGTTCTGGCTTACAGTTCTAGGGGAATTAGGATAGCCACCATTCTTGGAAATCACAGAAATACCTTCTAAAAATAATGAATAAGACAAATCCCTGTAGCTAAGTGGGAGCCTAAGACTGAGCATGTAGAAGAACCATGAGATTTTCCAGAGTGTTCAGTGACTGCTTAAGGTTGTTCCCACTGTCCAGCTAGAAACCAGGTTTCTCTGGAGCCCAGGGTGGCTGCAGAAATGTGATTGAAGAGTAAGAGAGTGGTAGCATCCACATATCCAGTATTTAGTATGAGCTCCAGGCTCTAGACAACCGTCAAAGGCCAGTAGAAATTATTCAAATCAAATCCCATCACAACCATCTGATCAAACACTATTTCTAGTCCATCCTTCAAAATATTTGACAATACAACATCCTGCATGGATCCAAATGGATAAAATCAAGATCAAGAGGTATGCTTACTGTGTGTGGGCCCATGTTCTGGGATCTAGTTACAGCAGAGGTGCTGAAGGCCACTTTTCCGAGTATCTGTCTCACAATGGCATGCCAGGTTTTGCCACCATGCCTTTAGAAGCTCCATGTGTCAGCTCCATGTGTCAGGTCCAGATGAACTTGTAGGTGATTGGTTCCTAACATAACATCAACATGGCTTCATGATCACCAAATGTACATGGGCACTCCAAAGTTGCATGCTACACATCTTAGCATTGTCCTTGGATAGTGAGAGAGGGCTGTGAAGACTAGTCAGTAGGTGCAGCTGACCTGGAGCCAGGCAACTACCTAACAGGGGCTGAGCAATAGCCCCTCAAAACATGTATCTACACCTTAATGCCAGAACTTCTGCATGGAATCTTGCTGGGAAATATTATCTTGACATGAAGTCAACCTCGATTGTCCACAATTAGAAGGTAAATTATATGCTAATGTCCCTGTAGAACAGAGACCAGACAGCACTCTGTCTGCATGTATCCCTCCAAAAAGATGAGACTTTGAAGAAAGTGATTAAATCAGTTTCCTGGGCTCTCCTGAGTAGAATAAGACTTCCCAACAGGGTTGTAAAAAATTAGTTGAAGCCTTTTCTCTGGAGTAAACTCTAAGAAGTCACTATCTTGGAAGCTGCCACAAGGGGACAAAAACATGGGAGGGGGCCAGAGAGTCATATGGGGCTACACTCAAAGCCCCTGGAAAGTCAGCCCAAGTAGACTGAGTTTTACATAGAATTATATATGGCACTATCTTCTGTGACACGCATGTGTCTCATCTTCAATTGTTATGTGCTGGGACAGAAAAAAAATGGAGGCACACAGAGAAGATGAGTAAGGGTGTAGCATGGCACGCTTACAGGTGCATGAGGAAGCTGAGCTCCTAAGGGCACTTACACCAATCTGCCACTGTCCAGAGCCAAATACCCCTGGGTAGGAAAGATTTGCCACAGGACACATTCTCCCAAAAGGACTTCTGCTTGTCAACTAGTGGTAAGAGACTAAAATGTCAAAGCTCAGAGAAGGAAAGATTCTTGTTATGTACAACAAACATGACTTGTCCAATATATACAAAAACCCTCTGTAGTCAACCCGGGGGGGGGGGCAAAGGGGAGATTACTCATCAGAACAAAAGACTACTACTTCCAGGGGAGAACCAGAGAACACAGGGAATGCCAAGCTTCACTAGTATAACCAGGAAGGTGCAGACACAACCCCAAATCAGATACCAGACATACCTTGCCAGGTGCGGACATTTAAGTCTGTCCTAGGCAATTGTTGGTGGAAGGTAGAACACAGAGTACCATGAGGGGAAGGGAACTGGTGGGACACTCTTGGAAGCAGCATCCCTGGTTCATTAAATCTGAAGGTGCACATGACCTGAGGCCCAGAAATTGCTGTTCTCCAGGAGCCTTTCCGTTTGCAGGAGAGTCCAAGGCAGCTGTATTCTCCATCTCCCAAGAGGGAGGTAAAGACAGCTGACAGCAGAAAGAAAGATACAAAACTAGAGCCATGAGTGAGTCTGCTTAGACCAAGACTGGTCAAAGAAGACAGTCTAACAGAATAGTAGCTATGTGATTTCATCTGTGTGAAAGGTCAGAAACTGCAGGCAAGAGCTGAGCCAGGGTTCAAGGATAAATGTTCATGAGGTGAAATTATCAAGACCCTTCCACTCCCACACTTTCCACCACAGGACAAAGGGCAGTGGGAGTGGCTACCGGGAGAAAAACTGAAATTATCGTACTGAAGCAGGGTCCCTATGGGAGGGAACTTCAGGGGCCAGCCATCTGGCAGAGCTCACTAAAGTCTAGCAGGTGGCAAAGGAGCCTGAGATACGATTCATTGGGGGGTGGGGGGTTGGAGACAGGGTTTCTCTGTGTAGCCCTGGCTGTCCTGGAACTCACTCTGTAGACCAGGCTGGCCTTGAACTCAGAAATCCGCCTGCCTCTGCCTCCCAAGTGCTGGGATTAAAGGCATCCACCACCACTGCCCGGCTCTGAGACACGATTCATGAACCACCACCGTCCTCATACTTGCCTGAAAGACCAAAGAAAACCCTTACATTTGAGCCATTTAGACAGCAAACCACAGCTAACAGCTGAGTTACGTTATTGTACAGTTACGGAGACCATGGGCCCAAAGAGGTCTCATTCTTCATCAGGAAGTGTCATTCTGTCCATGGAGTTTTCCCTGATAACAGTAAACCATTTGTGGGCCACACAAGTACAGGCTTCAGTTTACAGAAACCACACCCTCTGGGACCCTAGCAGGACAGCTCCATTCCATTCCTGCCTGGGACAAAGACACTAGGGGGAGGCTTTCCAAGTGCTGCAGAGGTACGATAGCGCACAGCTTTGTGCGCTACAGTACTGTGGGTGGATGCTGTGGGTATTCGGTGGGGCTGCCCCAGATGGGGAATGCCCAGAGAGAAGCCATTGGTGAAGGATGCCATAAGGAGACTCCTGAGAGACATAGGTGGGGCTGTCATGGGTGGGGCTACTTTGACTGGGAGGTGGTGTAAATAGAGAGCCAGACAAGGAAAGCCCTGGCTATAAATAGAAGATGCTAAGGTTGCAACACTGTGACCCTTCTCTTTGAGGAAACTGGTCTTCTCAGGTTGAATCAGCACTAGGAGACCCCATGAGGATGTAATGGACTGGCGGCTATGTCTGAACCCTGACTGTGGCTGACCAGGTCCAACTCTTCCTTCAGTAAGAAGTGGGAAGCTCCATTCTCCTGCATGGGGTCTCTAGGCACAGCCTTTCTGGGCGAGGGAGAAGGGATGGACAAGACTGCAAGGTTCCCTTTCCTGGCAAAAGTGAAATCACACCTCCTACAGGCTCCTCCTTCAGTTGTGCACTATAAATAGGACAGCAGGCCCTGCTGAGGAAGCTAGGTCTCATCCTCCATGGAACTCAGCAGAGATGTCTTCAAGGCCCCATTCTGCAGACTTCTCCCAACCCTCCACCCCTCATGGCTGGTTTTAGTGTTCTTAAACAGAATTTTCTAATGCTTATAAAAATTTCCAAAACCTTATATGATAGTTAAAATAGCCATATACCACAACCTCAAAGAATGGAGAAGGTGGACCCAAGGAGCACCAGGAGGAAAACATGCCACTGCGCAGGTCGCCCTCACTTCACCATCGGTAAAGACGAGGATCCTCAATCCTGTCAGTTCAAATACGCCACTGGAATAGGGCACCTTTTCTAATGGTGGGTCCCTGTGGTAATCACGAGCTTTTCTGAATAGAAGAGTCCTTTAGAGACGCTCAGATTGTGCCCCTCCCCCTCGTCCGTTCTCCAGGGTCACGTGATGGGAGAGGGGCTGGCACGGGAGCAGAAACAGCAGCCCGCCGCCAGAGAACCCAGCTAAAGACTATGCAAGCAGGGCTTCATCTCCCCCTAACCCCCACCCCCTTCTCCAACATTGCTCTAGTCCTGGAGAGCTCACGCCGCCTAAGAAGGCCACCTACGCGGACAAGAGAAGTCAGATACGCAAGTAGGTGCTGGGCCGAACGCCACCTTTCGCCCCCAGGACACGCACAGGACCAATCACCAGGACACAGTCTGTCCAACGCTGCGCCACAAAGGGTGCTACTCGTCTTCCTCACCTTGTTCAAGGCCTCGTTTACATAACCGAAACCGCCGAGCAAGGGTCGAATCCTCCCTCTCCTTCGCGCAAACATGGGCATTCAAACACCAGACCCTGACAGAACCCTAGCCATCTCGAATGAGAGATGCAGGCTCGAAAGGAGGGTGGCGGAGCGAACAGGCGCTGTCACCTGCAGGACGCAACGCGCGCTCAGGATTCTGGACCCATGAACGCCCGCCCCGGCAGCTCCAGCTCCGGTATGCGCGGCTCCGGGCGGTGGCTTCTCTTTACCCCGTTTCCCACCAGGTCCACGGACAACGACCCGGGGCCCGGCGAGGCCTGGCACCTGAGACTGGTGGGGAGCCGTGGGGTGTTTTCGGTCCACCGGATTAAGTGTCGACGCAATGAGCCTGGCTCAGTGTACACGCATACCCATTCTTGACACCACTGCCCGGAGGTCTCTGAGGGACCGCTGCTTTAGCAGCGGGAGCTGATCTATCCACTGCAAAGAGTGGCAAGTGGCCAGCCTCACAGACCGGAGGGATCCGGAGCTTTGGCCCGAGAACCGCGCCTCGGACCACGGACAGCGCCCGGCGCTAGCCTACCTCCAGAACGCATCCACCGCTGCGCCTCCGCGACTAGACGCGCGCCCCCGGGCGCCGAGCTCTCAGAGCGGTCCGCCCAGGCCCCGCCCTCCGGCACCGCCCACATGCCCCTCCTCCTCCCGCTCCGCCTCGGCTCGCACTAAGGCCCCTCCCAGCCGGAGCACAGCGCACGGACACCCGAGGCAGCCACTGCCTTACAAGGCTGCCACAGGCACAGCCGGCCTACAGACGCAGCTCGACCCAGGGTGCGGTCGCTGTGGAGCTGTAGAGCGTGGGAACCGGGCGGAGGTTGGGGAAGAGTGAGTGGGGCACACCTGGCCCTGGGGCCCCGGGCGTGCAGCCAGTCTCAAGTGGGGAAGCTGAGGCTGGTGGCACAGTCGCAGCCTACACTGTGCACAACCCGTTGCTGATCCCTACGTGCCTGTAGAGAGAGCTTGATGCGCGTGGTGAGATACCGTCCACTTGGGTTACCTGCACGAAAAGGCTCAGAGTCTCTGCTGATTTTCCTTCCTTCTAGGGACGCTTTGCCACGGGATCTCCACCCGGATGACTCTGTGGTGAGGTCAGGGTCGCACTGGTGGCTCTGAAGAGGACTATGGGGTTGGTAAGGAGGCAATGGGGATGGAAGATTTGTTGCAATAGACTCCTCGGTCCTCCAGGTTCTGTCTCAGACTCTAGCCAAGTCAACCCCTAAGTGTGTGTGTGTGTTGGGGAATTTGCTGAGTGTCTGACAAATTAACTCATGCCTGAGGGAACCTTGTTTTGAAACTTCAGAAACGGGGCCCACCTGAACACTTGGAGCAAATTACCCCTCCCCATGGTAGTCTCTGACCCTCAGATCCCTCTGCTTTCTTCAGCTACTGAAAAATGACTAAAAAGTCACTTCTAATTCTTGCTCTCCCGAGAATTCCCACTCACTATGGAAACCGTGTGAGTTCAGGACTGTGGAACTATGAGGAATGGAGAGTCAGACCCAGGCCCTCTAATTTTTTTTGGGTCCTGACTTGATCACTTTGCCTTGTGTCCCACAAAGCCCAAAGCCCTACTGTGATGGTTTGTATATGCTTGGCCCAGCGAGTGGCACTATTTGGAGGTGTGGTCTTGTTGGAGTAGGTGTGTCACTGTGGGCGTGGGCTTTAAGACCCTCACCCTAACTTCCTGCAAGTTAGACTTCCACTAGTAGCTTTCAGATGAAGATATAGAACTCTCGAACTCTCAGCTCCTCCTGCACTATCCCTGCCTGGTCGCTGCCATGCTCTCATCTTGATGCTAATGGACTGAACCTCTGAACCCATAAACCAACCCCAATTAAATGTTGTCCTTTATAAGATTTGCCTTGGTCATGGTGTCTGTTCACAGCAGTAAAACCATAACATACCTCCTATCCCCTGAAAAATCAACAATGTAAATGAAGTTCTGAAAGCTGAAATTCATGTTTATATTTCTATTAGCATGTTTTCAAATGGTGACTCTATCTTTAAATTTTATTTTTATTTATTGTATGTGTATATGTCTGTTTGTCAGTATGAGCACCACTTGCATGCTGGGTACCCTCAGAGACCAGATGGGTACGTTAGATTTCTTAGAACTGGAGTTACAGATAATTGTGGGATGCCTGAGGTGGGTTCTGGGAATCAAATCCAGGTCTTCTGCAGACTTGTATCAATATAATAAAGTTCTGGAGGCCCTGCTGTTAACAACCATGGTCCAAGATGTCAGCTTGATGGGTTTGGATAGTGTCTTCTGACCCAACCCTCCTACAGCATGGCAGCTGCTGGAGCTTCAAGGCTCTTACCTACAGACAATCTGTATAGGGACCTGCAACAAATCTGAATGGCTGTGCCTCTGTCACTATGAGGGCAAGTATCCCTCATAGTGACCCACAAATTCACTACATTTGGAAACTCAAAATATGACCTTATGTGCAACAGGTCTTGGTCTGAGGATATCCCCAGACTTCAGTAGAAAAGACTTCTTTTCCTGCTTGGATCTCCAGGACCACAAAAAGTCAATGAGGGGTGTCTGCATATGAAATTGCTGTATCTTCAGATGGGAGCTTGTCCTAGTTTATCCCAGTAGACCCTAAATCCAGTGACAAGGCAGCATCCACATGACCGCTGCAGTATCAGAACATATCTAGGCAGAACACTATGTGCAGGCTCAGGCTCCTGAAGGTTTGAATGCTTCAAACCATGGTAAGGTCCCCTATCTTTTCTGTGACCCAGGCTTAGGGGAGATATGCAGACCAGGGCAGTAGCCTGGCCAAGAAGGGTCCTATCTAGGGATAGCATGGAGTTCAGGGAGGGAATAAATAAATGATTATTGGCAACCTTCAAAATCTGAGAACAATGGTTGGGGGCAATTGGAGCTATGCTGAGTTCCAGATAAGAACAGGATGTGGAAGAGAAGCCTGAGACACTGACAGGTCTGGATTGTTCAGGTGTTTCTGTCTCCTCCAGGGAGGGACTCAGCAGCCCATGTCCTAGGAACCTGCTACAGAAGCCTCCATCAGAGTTATACAAAGACCAGGAGGTGAAGCCTACTGTAAGAGTCTACTAGGTATAGCCCTACAAAGAGGCTTGGAAATGCAGCCCACTGTGGGAGAGCAACTAGTGCCCTAACAAACAGCTCCAGAGAATTGTTACTTCCTGGCAGGAGTCTTTGTTGATAGCCTTTGTTTCTCTCTGAAGTCCTGAGGAAGGCATATAAGAAGTCACCTGCTGCTGCTGGAAGTCCTAGCCTGGACCTAGCCTGAGTTCTAGTGTGACTTCTGGTTAATTCTGAAGGATATATGTCTTATAACCCTTTGTAATTGTGAGCAGGTAGTTGACATTTGGTAAGCACTAAATATTCAGCTGAAGATGCCAGGGAGGCCTACCCATGGCCCTCACTAACAATGAGCCACAAGCAAATCTCAGCCCCTCTATGACTACTATCAAACACGAACCAAGCCTGGCATCTAGACTGAGACCAGGGGCCTCATAGCTCTGGGGCCTGGGTCAGAGGTTAGACTCCAAAGGAAAAGAGAAGTGTCCAGCCTTGGGACCTTGCTACCCCTCTATTCAATATGATCTTGGTAGTGTCTTCAGAACCAGACAAGGCTGGACACTTCCAGAGCCTTGTGAGCAAGCAGACCTGAAGATGGGAACACATCCTACCTTCATACCACCCTACATTTTTCTACCCATACAGGGCCAAATTCAGAAACCCTTAAACAAGGCTCTGCTTATGGCCTCAGCTTATTTCTATGTAGCACTGGAAGCCTCCATGTAGAGAGCTTTTCTCCAGGAATCACAATAGGGTCAGGTTGTCACTGAGTAGCCCAGCCAAAGAGTCACAGAAAATTCTACTAATAAGTGAGCTTCTCTAAGCCTGGGGTTTTGCTGAGTGTCCCCCTTACCAGTCACAACGATATACTTCTGGTTGACTTTAATCTGTTTGACTTGAGATGGAGAAGAAGCGTATTGGAGGCATTTGGCCCACGGAGCATAAGAAATGGGCACGTGGCTCTTTCTACCTGTAGGCATCTAATCCAGGCCAATAAGCCCTTCTCAGCTGGCCAGTGTTTCTCATTGGACTTCTCTGGGACAAAGCTTTGTAGTTTTCTATGTTCACCACATATGAAAAGCACGTATACATTCTACTAACCAAAGTATCACATTTTATTTTTGAGCTGTAACTCTACAAATTTACTATTAAAATGTTTCAAGCTTTAAGAACCTAAAGTTTTGCTTCTTTTAGCCAAAAACATTCTTGATACAGCAACCTCAAGGCTAGGCACAGTGTCTCCCTCCACAAGAGATAACTCAGCTTGTGTGGACTGAATTTACAGCCCATGGAGCCACAAAACGTGGCTCAGATTGGCTGTAGACATCCATCTTGCCTACAGGACATTTTTAAAAGCTTCTTTCTTCACAGGGGCACACACTGAAATTTGCCTATGCAGCTTTGTCCTGGAATTCTAGTCACACTGGTCAACAATGGGAACTTAGACCTAATGAAAGTTGATATCCAAATGGAGCTACGGTAACATCTTGTAGCCAGGAAGTCTCCATCCCTGTAGGAAAGACATTATCAGCCTGCTCCACCTTTCCTTCTAGGCTCATGGTGGTGATGCACAGAATGACATCTCTGGATTCTATCCATATGATGGTCATCTACTAACTCCTGACAAAAGATCACCCACCTTCCTGTGTATGAGCTGAGGGTACCGGTCTAAAAGACCCTGTTGTTGTATGAAGCGTGTGGTTCACAGTCCAGTCGATAACAGGGGGAACCTGAGTGTGTCTGAGAAGTGCTTTTGCACATAAGCAATATTTATAAAGACATGTAGTGGTGCCTAGCATGTGATTAACTGTCACAAAAGGCCTCCCAGCAAGATGGAGTTCTCTGTTCTCTCTCTCTCTCTCTCTCTCTCTCTCTCTCTCTCTCTCTCTCTCTCTCTCTC